CTTGTCACTTGGGAAATATTGCCCACTGGCTGCCCATTTGGAACCTTCATACTTTCATACTGTAGTCTCTTTCCTAATAAAGAACTGAAAAAAGTTATGCAGTAAAGAAACCAATTTTTCTTCTAGAATTTGGCCATCAATCCATCAACCCCTTTTATTGAAAAACAGCTCTCTATCTCCTAAAACTAGCATCCTCCAGGCAGCTTTGGAAAGCATGGGCTAATAACCAACCCGGCAGCCTTGAAGGGCTGAGTAATGAGCTGAAGGTCAGGGTGATGGGAAGCGGGTGGTCAGGATCCCTCAGGGCTGCTCCACGCCTGGAACAGTACAGACCTGTTCAGGCCACCAGCAGGGTCCCGCGCTCCTGCTGGTGTGAGAAAAATCCCACTGTGTGGGGGTGCGGACAGGCATCCCAGCAGCTCAGTTCAAGTGCTTCTTGCATTCTGCTCATTAGGCTAAGAAAACCTGGTCAGCAGCATCCTAGAATGGCTCTCTTTCAGATGCCTGAAGACTTATATCCACTCTCATCTTTCTCCTTTATGAGTAAAATAACCTTAATTTATTTAACAACTAGGTCTGGTTATCCTTTTCACAAGAAAGACTTGTAAACTCTGCAGAAATTTGGTTCATCTACCCAGTTATCCAAGGTTGAATGTCTTTCTGCATTGAATGGAAAGATTCAGAGCCTCAGAAGGTTAACTGAGCATCTAAGGGCAGCCCTGGGGGCAGGGAGGAGCAGGGTCTCAAACCCGCATCAGCTTTAGGTGACAACCCAGGCAGGATGCTTTCCACTCACCAGAGTACAGTGAACCTCAGAGGAAATCTCCCACGGCTGGGACGCTTCAGCAGAGGGCTGGCTGTACCCCGCTGGAAGGATTTCCATTTCTCTCTGCCCAGAGGCGCTGCAGGTTTGATGTCACATGAGTCTATCCACTTACATCACTGCCTGCGTGAACCAAAGCTCAGTGGGAGGAACCAAAGCAGAGACCCCAGGTCACCTGCCTTCTCACCTGCCTGAAATAGCAGCACTGTCGTTGGGCCTTGCCATACTCAGGAGACCCTCCTGGGGGGGGCATGCTACAGAGTCACCAACATGTGTGACTCTCAGGACAGGCTGCAGCCGCCGTGGACGGGCACCTGGGGACTGAGCTCAGCCAGCCTCAGAAGCTGGGACCAACCAATCCCTTCAGAAATTCAATCACACACCTTAATAAAGTTCACATCTTTGACCCAATAATTCTTTTTCTGGGAGTTTATCCAAAGGAAATAGCCCAATATACAGAAGAGCTTTTTGCACAAAGGTGTTCACCAAAGCATTATTTATAAGGATAAAAGCTGTCCAAAACTGCAATATCCAACAATAAGAGCACAATTTTGAAACTCAAGTACACTTACATAAAAGAATATTATGCAACAATTTAAAATCAAACTTATAATGAAAATGCTCATAATGTAAAGTTAAAAGGGATTGAGATTATAAAATTGAATATATATTATGAACACAGTTCTGTAAGAAGAAACGCACAGGAAAGACTGAAAGGACACAAGCCAGAATGTTAACAGTGGGAAAGCTTCATACGGCAGGACTGTGTGTGGCCAAGTATTTGTCTTCATTCAACTTTTTTTTGCTTTCAAAATTTTCTTACAATGAGCAGGCATTACTTGTAAAAGGAAAAACTTGAGTTTGTTAAAAAGAATAGTATCTAAGTGATTAAAATAATTTCTAAATTACATGTGCTGAGAAAATTTAAAACAATGTATAAATTCCTATATGCAAGGATTAGCCAAAGAAAATCATAATTAGAAAGCTGACTTTACAGTACGTATCCATGTGGGTACACCTGCATGCACACAGGAAGCAAGACATAGAGGGGACTTCTAACCACGTGGGCGGGCAGGCAGCCAGCAGTGCATGGGGGAGGGGACTTCCCAGCTTCTACCACCTTCAAGGTAATTTCACACGCTCCAAACAAGCATGGACTTGCCATGCAAACACAGCTTCGCACAGGCCTCCCAGCCTCCCTCCCAGCCAGACTGCAGCTGCTAAGCCCTTCCTTACATCCTAAGAAATCTGGAGCCCCTCCCACCCCCACTTCCAAGAGAATCAGAACATAAAATACAAACTGATAAATTTTTTTCAGTGGAGGTATGGTTAACTGTATAGTGACTTTTGTCTAGCAAAAACAAGATTTAAGCCAAGGAAAAATGCCTTAACCCCTTTATCATTTAAGATACGTAAGGCAAGGCTTTTTTCATTAGCATCTTCAATTCCAGAAGCTAAGATGATAGTTTTCAGTTGCCCTGGGATAAGAAAGACTAAAGTCAAAAAACATAAGAACAGTAAATCAAGTGGGGAGGGGAAGCCCCCTGCTCACCTCCATCTGAGACCACAGCTCAACCCGCCCACGGGGCAGGGATGCAGGTTCAGCCCCTTCATCCTACGCCACTGTAAGTAACTGTTACCAACTATGCGGACAAAGAATGATGAAGAGCAGACAGAGAACAAATCTGTAAGCTGAGTCCCCAGGGACCCACCCCGAGAGAAGGCCATCACTTAGGTCTCCTTCCTTTTATCACTTGTTACTTCCTAGAGATACTGGGAAGCTAAAACCACTGCCCCAGTGTACCCAGCTCTGATAAATAACAGTCAGCACTCGACAGCTTTCTGAAGGGTGGGCCGATTAGTTAATTCAATCATTCCTGTTGAAGGAATAAGGACAAGTCGGTTTCTTTTATCAAGAACTGACTCTGGAACCTGCCCCTCAACTCTGACACCTGCCCCACGATGCTCCCGGTGCTTCCCAGACTTTCCTGTGCCCCAAGCACCTGAGCTCTTGTTAGGATGCAGCCCTAACGTAGCAGGACTAAGTGAGCAGAGACCAGTTAGCTTCCCATCTCTGAGAATGAGACCCAGTCAGTGGTAAGGCTCCCCAGGTGGCCCCCGTGTGCAGCCAGGGTCGCACATACCACTAGGAGGTTTGGAAAGGCCACCGGCTCAATCTAACTCCTGGCTACTCTGAGTGTGCCCCCTGTGCAGTGACACCAGCACACCAACACCGGCCTCAGAGCTGCGGTGAAGAAGGGCGGGGCAACACAGCTAGAACATTAGGTCGGCCACAGTTATCGTTTCACTATTGCCAGTAGTATGATTATTATTCAGGTGGGCTGACACAGCTGGGACAAGGCCAAATTTGTAAAGAAACAGAGTTCTTGGGAAAACTATGAGTTAAAAGCAGATAAGAAAATAAGAGCTGGGGAGGAGCTCCAAGAGGGTGGCTCAGGGCAAGTGTGTGGGGAGCTGACAGAGGGCAGTGTGCATGGCCCACAACTGGGGCAGGAACAGTCACAACTGCAACCACTTACCTGGGCCTGAACTAACGGGGCAGGCACTGTCCTAACTACCCCCATTTCTCCAGGCTGAACCATTCTTGCTTTCCATTCTTTAGTGCCTACTATCCCAAGGCCCCCCGACGGGCTGGGGCCTTCCCCTCCCAGGGGGCAGAAGAGCTGACCACCTAGGAGAAACCGGCAGTGAGCTGGGAGCCTCGGGAGCTAGGCGGGGCACGCTCTTCACCCCTGTGGGGGCAGTGACACAGCTGAGGAGTGTGGGGACAGGCTCGTCTACATTTTGGACTGTGAGCTGCGTGCCCCTCCTCAGGTCTTTCTGTCCCACCCTCTCTTCCTTCTCTTCTTCCCTCTTCCTCTTGGAGCTGCTTTACGAGCTGCCTTCCATGGCCTCACAGGCAACTCTCTCGGCAGCTGCGTCCCAGGGCTGCAGCTCCTGGGATGGACAGCTGAGACACGACCCCTAGGGAGGACCAGAGGAGGGGTTTCCGGTTGGGCTGGCCAGCTAAGGAGGGCCTAGAGAGCTGGGCTCCACGTACTCTTCTGAAACAGCCATCTCACTCGTCTTCCTGGGCCCTGACCACTCTGGGGGACCTTCCCCAACTGGCCCCCAGGAGGGGGGTCCCCTGTTACACATGCCCGGCTCCTCCAGCCCTCATTCTCCTGTGAGAGCTGCACGTGACCACATTCACTGTCAAACCAGCCAGGGGAGCAGGAACAACACGTGACTATCAGGAGCAGAGCTCCAGCCGGAGGGAGGAAGAGCCCCACACACTCTCCCCAGCAACCCGAGCTGCCCGCTACACACGACTGGAAAACCTGCCAACTTTTAGGACTCACAGAGCCAGAGAATACAGGCACTTCTTGTAATTTTCCTATCATCCTTCCTTTAAAAAAAAAAACAAAACTCTTTTTACATAAAATTGTTTTCCCTGGATTCCACGAGGTCCTTCAACTTCATGGCCCACATTCTATAAATAAGGAGGCAGAGGCCCAGAAGCATTAGTGGCTTCCTGGGATGTTACGTGAATCAGACAAAGAACCAGGATCCAAATTCAAAAGCTCCGTGGCTCAGGCCCTGGCTCTGGGCACCAGCCAGACTGAGTGGTTCCCTGTGAAGGGAGCAAATCAGACCTGGGGGGAGAACATCCATGTGGAAGAGTGACACGGGGCTTCTCCACGAGTCCTTTACAGGAGAAGGTCAGTGCTCAGAGTCGCCACCCCACTACCGTCTGCACACGAGCGAGTCTCAGGAAGAAAACTAACGACGCGGAGGGAAAGGTTACTCATCAGCCATAACTATTCCCTCCAAGTCTTCCCAGCTCTGGACAGAAAGACACCCCAACACACCGCTCTGCAAGTGATGGATTTTCTTCAAGGAACGGCGGCTCTCCAGATACTATGTGCGCCCTACAACTCAACAAAGCAGAATCGTAAAATGTCTGATGCTCTTTCAAATTCCTCTCTACAGAAAAGGAGAACATGCCACAGTTTTGCCAAAATCAGTCACCACGGCAGCCTGAGCCCCTTGACGTTGTGTGGGCTTCAGTTCCTAAATGTAGACATATATTCATTTCATAGAGTTGTTTGGTATCTTATTACCTATCGACTAAGAGATGAAATAAAGTTTTCAGTTAAGTGTGGCGGATTCTCACCTGTGAAAGCATTTGTGGCCTGAAAGCCAGCTTCCTGCATACTGCTCCCCGGCAGGCCTGTGTTCCAACTTGTCAGCTGTCCCGTCACCAGGAACATCCAGGAGGCCTCAGGTCACCTCCATCTCAGCTTGCAGGAGGCCATCGCTCTGCCTGTCTGGTTTCTGGTAGCATCGGACACCAACCTGCCCTGCTCCCAGCCTCTGAGAGCAGGTGGTAGCTGGGACGGCACCCACTCCAGCAGTGTGCACGCTTGGGGCACCGGTCACATCAGCCGTCCAGCCAGAGAGTGGAGGCCATGGTGGGCCCAGGAGCGAGGAAGCTGTCCCACGGACACCGGCCTACCCACCTCAGAGGAAGGACCCCTTCAGCTGCCTGGAAGCCAGCATTCTCCAGGGGTCTCACTTGCTCCGGGGGGTTCAGGAGGGTCTGATCTGCAGCTCTCTATGCTTCACCTCTCCCCTTGCTGAAATTGAAAAGAAAGAGATCATTTTCCTGATGACCAGTAGAACATGAAACTCAGTAGACTCACAGAAGCCAAAAAAGAAAAAGAAGAAGCCCCCAGAGCCGTGCCCATGACCACACTGTGTGGGAAGTGGGGCACGTGTAGCACTTCTCCTGCTGCCCGAGAAGGGGTGGGGGGCCGGGGGGACTCCTGCACCCAAAACAAGATGGGGCCAGCTGCTCCGAGCCGTTCTAGGAACAGTTACAAAGGTCACACGCATTCAAATGTCCTCCCCAGGCTACCCTAGGCCACAGACACCTGAAGGAGAAATCCATTTCCTAAGCAGTTTTCTGAGGTCTTACAAGTGGGATCTGAGGTTCATGCCCACTGCTGTCAGCATGCCAGAAAGGACTTGGGTTGAGCTGTTTCACAAAGTGACTCTTGGGACTTCCCTGGTGGTCCAGTGGCTAAGACTCCGGGCTCCCAATGCAGGGGGCCCGGGTTCGATCCCTGGTCAGGGAACTAGATCCCACATGCTGCAACTAAAGATCTTGCATGCCCCAACTAAGACCCGGTGCAGCCAAATAAATAAATAAATAAATATATTTTAAAAAGTGACTCTTAAGTGGGAAGAAAAGGTCAGTGATAATTTTTTTAAAAGAATAGGAAGGAAAAGCAAATTTAATCTATCAATATAAACTGTTCCATATATATTACATATCCCATAATAATAAAAGCATTTTACAAATACTTATCATATATTTTAATGTTGTTATACTAGCAACATTAACTACAAGAATGTTAGAAGTCCAAAGGACCAGACTTTTTTTTTTTTTTTGGCTGCGTTGGGTCTTCATTGCTGTGCGCGGGCTTTCTCTAGCTGCAGCAAGTGGGGGCTACTCTTCATTGTGGTGCACGGGCTTCTCATTGCAGTGGCTTCTCTTGTTGTGGAGCATGGGCTCTAGGCACATGGGCTTCAGTAGTTGTGGCACGTGGGTTCAGTAGTTGTGGCACGTGGGTTCAGTAGTTGTGGCTTGTGGGATCTAGAGCACAGGCTCAGTTGTTGTGGCGCACAGGCTCAGTTGCTCCGTGGCATGTGGGATCTTCCCGCACCAGGGATCGAACCCATGTCCCCTGCATTGGCAGATGGATTCTTAACCACTGCACCAGCCCAAGGACCAGGCTTTTGTTTTTTTTTTATTTTATTTTTATTTATTTATTTATTTTTAACATCTTTATTGGAGTATAATTGCTTTACAATGGTGTGTTAGTTTCTGCTGTATAACAAAGTGAATCAGCTATACATATACATACATCACCATATCTCCTCACTCTTGCGTATCCTTCCCACCCTCCCTATCCCACCCCTCTAGGTGGACACAAAGCACCGAGCTGATCTCCCTGTGCTATGCAGCTGCTTTCCACTATCTATCTATTTTACATTTGGTAGTGTATATATGTCCATGCCACTCTCTCACTTTGTCCCAGCTTACCCTTCCCCCTCCCTGTGTCCTCAAGTCCATTCTCTACATAGGACCAGACTTTTAAAATAGAATCCCAAATATGAATCTCTGGTATTAGAGAAAAGGAACCTTTTCCATTATTATCACTTCACCCTAAACAATTTATAGCTAATTTTTTAAAAATGTAACTTTATTCCTCTTTTTCACCATCAAACTAGAGAAAAGAAAAAAATTTAAGAAAACAGCACATAACAGAAAGGAACCCTCTGTTAAAGCCCTCTTGCTGTAAACATAAGGTAATAAAGTAAAACATCACTAATACAGACTAATTGGAAGGAAGCCCTACTGGATTAAGGAAGCACCTTAATTACATTAAGAAAGAAATTCAACTGCATTGCCTTCATGTACTTGCAGTAACAATCTCAGTTAATAAAGTGCAGCCCAGTAGGAGTCCTCAAGTTTAATGAATAGGTAAAAAATTTAATTAAAAATCATTTATGTAAACGGTGGTTCTGAAGTGCTTGAAAATGTGAGAAAATGTTTGTTCTCTGAATTTAAACATTCTGTATCAAACGACCAGTACAGTTATCAATGTCCCAAAGTCCTACACCAACATCCGGAGTAAAGGACCATGTGCACTGTAGTTATCTACTTTAGGGAATGGAATTGCCAGTTAAAAATAAAAGCCCACCTGCCCTAAAACCTTGATTCTCTTTACTCTTTCTATGATGCTTTCAACGCACAGAAATACTAGACTGTATTTGTTCTCTTTTCCTGAACTCAAAGACAAACTAAAGTGTGGTGATGTTTTTGTTGTTTTATTGAGGGGTTTTGCTTAATTATCTTGTTTCATTGCAAAAGGCATGCTCCCACAATTTTTTAAAAAACCAGGCTATACATTTCAAAAGTCTATGGGAAAGATTGAGGCTGATGTGGATAGAAATAGAAGAAACAACAAACTCTTCTTTTTTTTCTCTTACTGTCTCTGTCACACTCACCAATACTTAACTTTACTTCTAAAAGAGAGGGAAGACGACAGGTGTGTAACAGCTCCCCCTGAGGTCTTGGGCATGGTCCTGGCCTGGATGTTTAGAGCATGACATGTGTGGTTCCCAACACAGGCTGAAGGGCCAAAATTTATTTTAATTATCTTCATTAACTGATGACGTGCATATTCCTACATACATTTGGAGTCTCCTTAATATGCAATTTTCAAGTGAAAGTGAACCTGTAACTGCCATAAAATGTTTTTTTCTCACCACTAACAACACAGATAAGATACCCTTTCTAGAAACACACAAAAAAGAGGAGTGGGTCCCCAGAACCTAGAGTCTGTTTTGTTCAGTGAGGGACTGACCAAAGGGAACGGGGCCAGGCAGCCATGCTCAGGAGGAAAGTACAGATGATCCAGCAGGCTGGAGAACAGGTGGGTAATTGGGACCTAGAGTTGGCAGAGGTACCACATGTCGGCTTTCACAGCTCGGCAGCCAACCAAGAGTCAGGAAAAAGGCGCGGAAGCTGAACACATCTCTGTCCTGCCTGCCTCCCACCCTCGAGGGCCCTGCTTACCTTCTAGTCTCAGAGGTGGCACCTCACCCACCCCTGGGACTAAATGCAGAGCCCGGTAACCTGGCTCGCTGGCCCTGGCCGCAGCTGTGGCTGCATGCAGGGGTGCTGATCGCTCAGCACCATCTCTCCGCTGAGCTGTAAGCCCCACGGGGACGTTTCCCTTGAGCACCTAAGGCGTTGCCTGGTGCCCAGTGGACGTCAGTAGGACGAGTCTACTGAACGATGGATGGGTGGACCAAGGCTGCTGGTGTTTGGACGAGGCACACAGAGAGGCTCGGCAGACCCTGCAAACCAACCCGCTGCCCCGAGCCATGCTGATGGATGCCATCCCTGGGCTGAGAGGCTGTTCACACCTCTGGCTCTGAGCCTCTGAACTGGCAAGGCTTTTGCTACCACCCCACTAGTCAAGGTGAGACAAGGATAACGAGCAGTGACTCCCCTGCACTCACACTTCACAGCAAAGTACCCAGCACAGGCCCATGGAGGTCACTGCTCTAAATCCTCTCAAGCCACAGAGAAAACTCTAGCCCCACAGAGGTTACATGACTTAGCCCCAAACTAGCGCTCAGGAATTGGGACTAACACCTGGTCTTTTGCCCCTCCAGCCACTGTTATTCCCATGCTACTTCTGAATCTCAGGTAGTTTCCTAAACCGAAGTGCCTTAACGCTGGTAATGCTCAAATCAGGAAAATCTAGGGGGGAAAAGAGGAAAAATAAAGAGAGAAAGAGGCAACTTACCCAGGATGCAAGGTCACAGAGTAACCCTGAACCCATTCAAGAGCCCCTCTACAGCAAGCACACTACCACCATCCTGTCATGGACATATGGACACATACACACGCACACACACATGTTCTACTTACACTGGGAAGATGGGCAGGACTAACCAGGAAATAAATTAATTCAATATTGCACTTGAAACATGTCGTTAAGTCCCTCCCATAATGGAGCAACAGTTACTAAGGAAATAGAGCACACAAAAGGGAAAAACACCCCCACAACAAGGGACGTTCTTAAAAACATGAACGCCCACGAAACCTAACCAAATAAGTTGTATAGGAATACGTTTGCTTTACCACTTGTTCACAAAAACTCATACGACACACAGCTTCTCTAGAATCACTGGGGAGTGAAAAGAACTGCATTCCACAGATGACACCTATCATGAAAGTTCAGTGTGGAAAGACTTGCGATTCAGGAAACATAGGGTCACACGCTGGGCACAGAGGTCAACTCAACAGAGAAGTCAAACAACCTTTTCTCAAAATCTAGTAACACTAGTATAAGTGTAGTGCATAAAGAATCAATACCGCAGGCTTCCCTGGTGGCGCAGTGGTTGAGAGTCCGCCTGCCGATGCAGGGGACACGAGTTCGTGTCCCGGTCCGGGAAGATCCCACATGCTGCGGAGCGGCTGGGCCCGTGAGCCATGGCTGCTGAGCCTGCGCGTCCGGAGCCTGTGCTCCGCAACGGGAGAGGCCACAACAGTGAGAGGCCCGCGTACCGCAAAAAAAAAAGAATCAATACCGCAGTTTCATTTCTGATTTCCTCACACCATGGACAGACTGCCTCGCTGGTACATTGGTTACCTAGGTGACAGCCACCTGGGTGATGGCCAGACCGAGCAGCCGCAGGCTCCAGGCCGCAGAGGTCCCACCTGTCTGAGGACAGGCGCTGCTCCACCCTCGGAAGGAGCATGGAGAGGTGAAGGGATGGTCCCAACCCCGACAAACCATGACACTGTGGCAAAACTCAGAAAACAGAAATAGGCTGAGAGTGTGCCACACTGCTTACTGGAAAAAACTCAACTACTGGCTTGTTCACCTAAGGTCAAAGTGGCAACGGATTCTGAGCGAGACAGAGGTGAGGAAAAGTGGGACAAGAAACCTGAGGGTCTGCTTCTGCCCGAGCTTGGAGCCCTCCGCCCTGTGGATAGACACGCAGACCTGGGAAGTGCCGGTCAGTCTAGGTATTCCTCATGGCAGCCACT